CAGGTCGTGAACGCCTCTCATTCTTGAATGTCACTGTCCATCCTGTGTAAAGGGGTCTAGATTCAGCAGTTAGGGCCTGCGGTTCTACATGCTGGACGCGATCATTCTAGAAGTGAGCTGGGAAGGAGGTGTCTAGAGTACTATTGGAGTAGGAGTGGTGCCTGTTGGTTGGCCTTCGGCACTGTGTCAGCAGTCGGGTGCTGTCAGCAGCTGCACCGGAGGAAGCGGAGGCTTTCTGCACTGAGACCACGTGGGAGCCGGCTTGGAGGGAAGCAGAGTGGGAAGCAATGGAAACAGGCAGGAGAGGGTCCTTGGGGACCGATTTGTTCTGATGTTTGAAGACAAAGTGTTGGGGAGCTCTCCCAGATCTCTGAAAGCTGAAGGACAGGGGAGGGGGTGACGCCGTGTTTTGTGAAGGAAGGAAAGCGCAAGGTGGAGGAGGGAGGGGATTGCAGAAGCAACAGGGAAACGCTTGTTGGGCGTTGCCTTTCAGCCAGTCCTGGCTCAGAGCAGCTGTGGGTGCAGCAGAACGCCACACTGAGTGGTCCTGCACCGTCCTCGTGCGTTGGGACGTTTGAACCCATTGATGCCACCAGTGTGCCCACCCAAGTCCTTAAGGGTCTTCTTACCAATTACGTATTAACAGCAGCACAAAGGACACTGTAAAAACGAGATTTAAGGCCCAATAGAAGGGTTAACTGCGTATCGTTTAAAGATGGGTGAATTGTGATGAGTTCCTTGACAAAGCTTGAAGAATCTGTTCTCCCAGAAAATGCACCCACATAAACATCAGCTGACAGTGCAAGTGTTCACCTGTGAGGGACCAAGTACAGAGGTGACTCCAACATTGGACCCCGGCTCCCCAGGAGGAAATCAGGTTCAAGTTTTCCAGCGTGGCCAGGCCTGGTTGCTTCCCCTGCCCCTGGGATGCATGAGTTCCCCGTCTGTAGTCTTGTGGGTGGAAGAAAGAGCCCTGGAGCCGCAGGAAGAGCGCAGGGTGTGCTCTGAGGCTGGAGCGCCCTCCACCTTCAGTGCACGGGCCCTCAGAGTGGAGCACCGTCCTGACCCTGGGGGAAGCTCACACCGCTCACTCTGGTTACTCAGCACTGTCTCCCCCATCCTCCTGCCCTTCCAGGTCTCCAGCGGGGTGCGGGAGAACTAGTCCAGTCCAGGCAGCTGGGGCTCTAGGGTGGCCGGCCGTCTGCCACATCCGTGAATCGTAAGGACAGATTTCCACGGCTCTAGCTGGTGTGTGGACCAACATTGTTGATTTGCCCCCAAGCTGCCCGGTGCTGTGTGTCCACCCCCATCCCTCTTCCTGAAGTGGCTGCTGGGCTCAGAGGACACGACATTCCCTTGGATTTCTGGAAACCAGAGCAGCAAAATGGTAAGTCCCGCAGAGAATGGGGTTATTTTACAATGGGTGCATGATGCTGGCTATGTGTTATGTTGGATGAATGAGGAAGCTGACAGGATGTCAAGAGACTGCGCCCTGGGAAGCACATGACGGTCCTGCTCCCCAGTCCCTGGGCCCTTCCTTCTTACGTGTGTGAAACTTCAAAAGCTGGATGCCTGGGGTCACTTTTAGAGCCAGCACCATGAGGCATGACCCTCAGAGGCTAGGGACGGGGCCTGGCCCTCAGAGTCCACATTCGTCCTTGTTCCATTCTCTGCATCATTTTCCTGACGTGCCTCAGGCACCAGCGCATGTTCTGTGCGGTTCGAAACCCACAGCTTCCCTTCTCCCATTGTGTTATAATTGTTAGCGGTCGTCAAGTCGGTCCGACCCATAGCAAGCCCCTATCGAACAGAAGAAAACACCCCAGTGGACGCGCAGCCGTGCCCGGGAGGGAGCCGGGTGCGTGCTGCGGCGGCGGCGGCAGCAGAAGCAGCGGCTCTGGCGCTTCTCATCTCAGCCTGAGCCCATGGAAGGCCAGGTGGGCCGCTCAGGTGACTAGAGTGGGGTCTGCTGCCCGAGGATGGGAATTCTCAGGGAAAACTACTATTCTTTAACAATTTTCTATGAGTGAAGTTTTGCATACATCTCCTACAATAGGAAATAATGTAGAAGAGATAGTGGTTAATAATACGCGTTTCCTAGTGGGGGATATTGGTGGCCAAGAATCTCTTCATTTTTCCTGGAACACTTACTGTACTAACACTGAGTTTGTAATAGTTGTTTGGACTTACTGACAGAGAAAGGATTTCTGTAGCAAGAGAAGAACTCTGTAAAATGTTAACACATGAGATGCCTGATATCTGATCCCTTCGACACCTCGTGATCACACAGGCTAGTGTGCTTCTTCCATGTGGGCTTTGGTGCTTCTGGGCTAGATGGCCACTTGTTTATCTTCAAGCCTTTAAGACCCCAGACATTCTATCTTTTGATAGCCGGGCACCATCAGCTTTCTTCACCACATTTGCTTATGCACCCACTTTGTCTGACTGTGTCTGGAAGGACCTACAGAAGCTGGGCTGCTGATTTCTGCGAATAAGCAAGATGTTAACGAATGCGTGACTGTACCAGAAATCTCCCAGTGTCTGAAGCTCACTTCTATTAAAGCTCACCAGTGACAGATGAGGCATGCTGTGCTCTTACTGGTGAGGGACTGCCAGGACTTGAACGGGTGATGTCACAACTTAAAATCAGATGAGCTGTGCTGGACTTTCCCTGAAAGCTGCAAAAAGTAATGGTTTAGCACTGCTTCTACAAAAGAAAAACTACGACCACTTATTTGGGGGGAAAAAGACGAAGTCTTACCTTTCAAATTTGTTTTTCCTTTAGGTCTTCCAAAGTAAGGTCTTAAAGCTGTGATTGATTTTTCCCCCTCATAACCCATCCTCGCACGGTGGCTGTGGCAAGTGCAAAGGGAGAGGAGGACACTGTTAACTTTTCAGTATCACCCTCCCTAGTCGAACGAACGTCGTCCTCTTCCTGTTCCATTAAGTCGACTTACAAATCAGTACAGATACTGTTTTCGATATTTTAAAATGTAATGTTGCTTTTGAAAAGAATTTTACATAAGGTTGTGTATGTTTTGTGTATCTACCTCAAGTTCAAGTTAACAGTATTGACTTCTGTCCTAAAGCAATTTTGTGAATAACAAAAATGATAACATCTTTAATGATAACCAGAATAACACAAGTGTTGACGGGGGGCGGAAGAGAAAGAAAACACGGCCCGGCCCACCCTCACGGTGGTCGTGTTCGTTGGTCGCGCATGAGGAGTTTTGGCTTTCTCACTCTCTCTGCTGCTTCTGACCACGCCCCCGTGCCTCCTCTCTCCCGCCCCACCTCGCTTGTACCTGCTACAGCATCTTCCGTGCAGTTGACGCACTGGCAGTGCCTTTTTTATTAGTGAGCTACATTTGTTACACTTGATCAACCAATTTGATACACTGTTACTGGTTTTTTTAAAAAAACATAGTTGACCGTATGGTACATACAGCAATGCACACAGCATGGGATTTTACAATCCCATAATGTTGTGTATCCACCATTATGACCTCATCCAAATAGTTTCACTGCCCTGTGACCCCTTCCGTGAACAAGGGTGCTTCACCAGCACTGACTCGAGTGAATCTGGGTGCCGACAGAGCAGATCCAGGAACCAGTCATCTTTTCACCGTCTAGATACTTTTGGCTTTTCCAGAATGTTACATAGCTGGAAGCTTATGTAACGTTTTCAGAGTGACGTCTTGTACTTAGCAATAGTCATCGTAAATTCTGTGTGTCTTCCCATGCCTTCTGACAGGTTACTTTTTAATGGCTGAGTAGTATACCAGAGTCACATTTACAAGTTGTCTCAGAAGAACAGCCAGAGTCCTCCTAAGAAGTGATGGCAAGACTGTGCCCGTGTCTTTGAGCCTGTGATCAGGAGGAACTAGTCCCTGGACAAGGCCAGCATGCCTTGTGAGCAGAGAGGCAGAAAGGGAGGGAGATGAGGAACAGGTGGCAGGTGGGCACTGAGGGAAGCGGAGAGTGAGTGACAGGTAAATGCCATGTATTGGATTGTGTTCCCCCAGTTATGTGTCACCTTAGTTGGACCAAGATTCTTCATGGTTATTTAATGGTATGCTGTGACCATTGTGTAATTGTGTAAAGCGAGCTGGTGGCATGGTAGGCTGTGTGTTGAGCTCTGAACTGCAAAGTCAGCCTGTTGAAACCTACCAGTCCCTTTGCCTGAGGAAAATGAGGGTGTCTGCTCCGGTAAGGATTTCAGGTCTCAGAAACCCAGAGGTTTGGGGTCTTACTTACGCTGTCCTGTGGGCTCACTCTGCATCAGAATCCACTAGATAGCAGTGAGCTGTAACTGTGTAATCATCTCCCAAGGCCACACCCCTGCTCAGGTCATGCCCTGATCCAGTATAAGGGAACTTTCCCTGGGGCATTGCCTGCACCACCTCTTATTACAGGAGGTAAAAGGAAGCACCTACCACCACCAGGACAGAAGAGCCAGGAGGGGAGCCCCTGTGCTGTTAGCTCCTAGACTAGGGACAAGACGGATGCCAAGACCCAGGGAGAGCTCCAAGGAAGGCCAAGCCCACAGTCCTCTGCTGCTCTGCTGGGGGACACGACACCTTGCAGTGGACCCTGAACTACTCTCAGTAGTCGTGGTGTGTACTAGGGAGGTAACAGGTTACAATTCAGAATGAGGGCTTGGGATACCATCTCAGCTATGTTCACAGACTGCTGGCTCCTAGGCACTTAACCTGGGCTCTACCATGATCACCCAAGGTTACAAAACTCACCAGCTCTGCCAGTAAGTACCCAGAGGCGCCCTGTTCTGTGGGTAAGCCCAGGCCAGCAGACACTCAGCTTTCTCCCAGGGTAGGCTGGCTTACCCAGATAAGGACGCAGTTCAGCAGCCGGCTTTGGGTTTCTATTCTGCGTGTTATTCTCTAAGCTCCTAGAACTTTTGTTTTGATGTTTGTCACTTTCTAAATTTCTCATTCATTATTACTGAAGTATTTCTGATGTTCATTTCTATTGTCTTTTCTCTCTGGTATGATCAATGCATGGATGGCCTGCATCTATTAATTGTCCCAGAGTTCTTGGGTGCTCGCTGAATCGTTTCCATCCTTTTTCACGGTGACAGTTTCGTTTTCGTGGGTTCTGTTGGCGTGTCTTCTGGCCCATTGACTCTCCCCTGACTCTCGTGGCCGTTGGAGAACGTGAGGAAGGTGGTCTCCGTTTCTCTTCTCAGTTGGGTTGCTTACCTCAGGGCTCCTCTGGTTTCTGTCTCTCTGTGCATGTTGCCCGTGTGCTTTGACATGTTAGGGCCTGTCGTTTCCTAGCCTGCCTATCACATAAAAACGTCTAAAATTCTCACTTCTTATGACCTGAGCTATTTCTTTTGTTCATTTCTACTGTCTTTCCTTTTTGGTATGTTCAGCACATGCATGGGCCCGTCGTTGTTCATTGTCCCATGCCTGTGTGAGATCTCTTGCAGCAAATTTGCCCAGTGTAATACATCGTTGGGCTTCTTAACCGCCGTTCCCATTTACATGGATTCTAAGTCCAAATAAAACGAAACCCTTGATTATTCCAGCCTTTTGTCTGTCTGTCGTGATGTTGCTTATTTGTCCAGTTGTGGTGAATTTTGTTTTATTTATGTGGAAGTAGAATCCATCTCGAAGACTGTCGTCTTTGCTCCTCATCAGTCAGTACTTCAATCCTCATATCACGGGTTGTTCCTAAGCCGTCCTCCAGTCTCGATGCTGCTTTCCTTCTTCATTTAGTCCAGCTTCACAGATGGTTTGCTTTGCAAAGAAATTAAGTAAGTATGATGAAAGGATACAACCGTAACAAACACCTTTCATGATTTCAACCCCTGAAGTAAACCTTGTTTTTCACAAATGCTTATTAACACTAGGTCTCCGTAGAAGTTAGACATGAAACAATTAAATGCTCACAAAGCCTTTTTGTTTGCAGAGTTGTTCAAAAAACTATGGCCTCAAATCGAATACCTTTGCATAGTTGATAAAATACAGGAAAACCTCCTGGTATTCTCTGCTTGCAGTGAAGATGCATCTAATGCCAGCACTGATATCCTTCATTCCACTTCCTCTTCTGAAAGTGGGCTGTTTCTGGCGGTTCCCTGTCGACGTGCTGCATGCAGCAAACATTACTCGGTTGTCTTCAGCAAATTGTTATGTGCATGTGAGATGATCATATTCAGTCATTTTCTTATTCTGTTGGGTCACCTTTCTTTGCATTGGGCACAAAGAAGCATCCTTTACAGAAGGTGGCCCCACCACTTGTCTTGTCAGTTTGTAGTAGTGGGTGGGCCTCCGTGCTACTGGAAGCTGTGTCTCTGTTACTTCACTGACCTGCAGTCACCCAGGCTGTAAGGGGGGCTTTGTGACGAAGGACCGAATATGAAGA